TTCACTTTTAATCCTTTAAAAAAAAACAAAAAAATATCCTCATTGGTCCTATCATTATTGTGCATGATCGTTTGTGATCCTTTATCAACCAATATTTTTAAATTACATTAAAAATGACGTTATTAACCATTCAGAATTTTCTTTTTTTTTTCTTCAAATAAACCATATACACTTGATGTAGCAAATACCGCGTTTACTACGATTACGTACGAGATACAAGATTGGTCCGGGTTTAGGCCCTTATGTGTTCTGCTTGTTGGTTTAAGGTATTAATTTATGCTCGGTAGGCGGCATGAGACCAGAGGTTCCCGAGCTAAGTAAAGCTATAGAGAAATTGTCGAGACCAGGGGTTCCCGAGCTAAGATTGAATGTGGTATTTATAAGGAGCGTCAGGGAGCAGGTGCCGGTCCCTCGACATTCGGGGCACGTGGAACGCATGCAGAGGCCAGACTGGCGGACCTCATTGGTCCAACCACGCGTCCGTAGATTCCTATTGATATAGGGTTCACTACTATTGTTCTTAGCTGATGTTCCAAGTGTCGGAGGTCGAGCTCAGCCCCAACCTAAAATGATCGGGGCGGAGCAATCGTTACAGATATCCGGTTTATTGGCTAGACCCTCTCGGTCTACCATCCGGATCGGGGAGGCATGTGCTCGGGTCGGTTACGATCGGATTGGGCTCTACACCTCTAATGCATCCAGTTCCAGTTTGGTGTTAGGTGTGGTATTGTCAGGAAATATATATTCCCTATCAACACTAATCATACATTCATTTATAGGATAAATAATTCATAATTCATTCAGAGAATAATGGAGCAAAAACTATTATCAATACATAAGTTTACCCCAAAACTATTATCAATACATAAGTTTACCCCAAAACTCAAAAAAATACAATTGAAAAAACGATAAGTTTATTTTATGACAATCCTTATGTCTAGTGCATAAGTCTACTTCACAAATCAAAATGCCTTTGTATTTTAAAGCATGCATTTAAATAGTTTTGTTGACGGACAACCAAAAATAGACTGACACCTATAAATCTAAGACAAAAAATGAAATTAACTTTAATGATATCCATAGTCATCACATAAATTAAGAAATTAGAGCACAAAGGTTGAAGCATGGAATGCATACATTGCTATAATTAAAAGTTTCCATAGTCTTACATATGTCATAGAAACAAAAACACTAGCTAAATCCCATAAATGAACCACATTTGTGAAAATTCTCCCTTGTTAGTGCATCAATTCTTTGAATAGCCTCTTCACTCAAGTACTTTTTATAGTCGCCCACCACAGCTTGTCTAAAAAATGAATTATTGGTTAATGGAAACCATGGACGAAAATCCTCAGACTTATTTACTTTATGACTACTTAAAGCCTCAAAGCTGCAACTCTTCACTATCTCCTCCACTTTCTTATCCTCTTTGGCAAAAGGACAACCCAGAAACTCGACCAATCTTTTGACGTAAGTATTTGTGTCACTCTTTAACTCTTCATATGTAATAACCAAAAGCCATTGATTTGTTGTAAATTTTGACCTCCGATCCCCACCATTTCTCTTCTGGTAAGCAATTTTGATTCTCCATGATGAGCTGATGAGGACTCAAATCACCTAACAATAAATTAAAACTATGTATATATGAAGGCAAAGGAAAACCCTTAGCTATATATAATAGCCAATTACTAGTAAAAGCAACACATGAAGGATAATTAAATAAATGCCCATGAAAAAGAATGGAATGAAGTTACATATATGATAGGTACATATTATAAGATATATTTATAATATTATTGGAGAATATAGGCTTCTAATATTGTTATCTTTCAAGCTAGTGACACTTATAAAATAATTCTAAATATTAACTAAAGATTTTTTTTTTTTTTTAAGGAGATAACTAGTACAATTCATAATATAATTAAGTTACTAATGGACCACGAGTACCACAAATTTAAAATTGTGCCTAACTCCTTAGAATTTGAACAAAAACTTTGGTCCTTATCATGTTCGGCATATTACCAAACAATGAGGTAAATCATCTTATGTTGTTTATAATTGATCGATTCAAATCAATTAAAATGACAAATAAGATTACAATGTCATATTTGCGCAATATACAATCTCGAATAATAGCTGTGGATTTACCTTAAATTATTATGTCTAGTCATATATGCACATGTTTGGTAAAATGCTGAACATTGTAAAGAGCAAGGGTTCTGTTTTGTGAGTTAGGCACAATTTAAAACTTTTTGTACTCATGGTCCACTCATAACTTAATTATATTACGAATTATAATCTAATCATATATAACTTTTTGTACCGATATAGAAATTGAAGGCACATAAAATGAAAATTTCACACATAAATTGTTAATTACATGTACAAAATATATGTTAACTGGAGACGCATAAGATATTGGTTAACATGTTATGTGTCTGCAGTTAACATATTTTGTACTTGTAGTTAATAGTTTATGTAATTTATGTGTCTGCAGCTATCATGTTATGTGTCTGGAATTACCATGTGATATAGCTTCAATTTGTTTGCAGGTACAGAAACGATTAACTGCAACTAGAGAATATGTCAACTGTATATACATAATCTAAAAGTTATTTTTAAGCCAGCATCCACAATGCATGATAGACCCTCATCAAAAGGCTCACCAATTTCTCAAAAAATACTTCTTTTGCTCTTAATTTTAGTTTTTATGTATTTAGAGGGCTTCAACAATATTTTAAACAATTTTATAGCCACTTAAGTGAATAGTTTGTAAGAAAAAATGATGATAACCTTATATTTTATTAGTGAATTTTGATAATTTTTAATTTTTAATTTTTCTTACATTTAAAAAAATAAAAATAAATTAAAAAAAATCAGCGTCTAACGTGTTTTGCAACCTTGATCGAAACTCATGACTTTTCATTTGGAAGAACCACTTCGTACGTGCTACTAGACCACTAGAACCCGATGGTTGGCAAATTGTTGGGCGGAGATCGGTAAAGGGCTTAGGGCCAAGTCCAGCACTTAGTGTCTCGAACAATGTGATGGCGGTCTATAAAAAAATAAATTAAAGTTGCGACTTCACTACTAGTTATAGGTTTTAGCGTAAGTGGTGAATGCTTGATCCTAACATTTTTTTCTCTCTCCGATCCCTCTCATTGCTTTAATCCCATTAGATCTCTCTAGATCGACGATTTGGAAACATTTTTAGTTCTCTCATTTCGCAGTGTTTTTATTTGATCTAAATCCTATATATATTATTTTGATTGATCTACGAGAAAGCAAGTAGCTACTATTGGAATGTGTGATGAGTGAAGCTCGCCTTGTTATCTAACCGATATATATATATATATATATATATATATATATATATATATATATATATATATATATATATATATATATATATAATTCAGTTCTCGAGCGGTGGAGTACGTCTCCCGTGCAGTTGTGCGGTTAAATCTTAGTCATTGATCTTGCCTAAATCAACGTCCAAGATTAACAATGATTAAAAAATACGCGATGACAATTTGATCATTTTGCATCTAAGTCAACTTTAAGGTGCATGATTTTCCTTCTTAAGGTGCGTGGTTATTCTTTCTTATGGTGCGTGGTTTTTGCGTGCTTAATAAGGTGTGTGGCTTTTTGTACTGTATGGCTTCAAATGCGTCAATTGTTGAAAAATTAAGTGCGTCAATCTAAAGTTTTAGGTGCGTGATTTTCCTCCGTGGTTTGTGTGCTTAAAGTGCGTCAGTTGTTCAAACTTAAGTTGTGTCATTTTAAAGGCGTGGTTTGTGTTCTTAAGATGCTTTGTTTGTGTGTATAAGAATTTAAGGTGCGTGGCTTTGTTTTACATTGGGCTATTTTAATGTTTAATGTGCGTCGTTTGGGTTTAACTGCACAACCGCACAGGAAGCTAAGCTATCCCCGCACCAAAACTCATCCATAGATATAATTTCATTATATTCTCACTTATTCCTTAAAATAAGCCTGCTGCAAGGTTTTTATTATCGTCGTTCATTTAATAATATATATGCACGATCAAATTTTATTTGTCAGCTACTCAACTCAGACGTTATGCCATGGAACCGTGTTCACCATTCATGGTGAACACGGTTCTAACGGTGTTAGTACACCATTATCTTTTTCTTTTTTTTTTCTTTTTTTTTTAAAAAAAATTAATTGCGTGACTTTTTTTCTTTATTTTCACATTTTGCGGTTTCACTTTAATTTGAGGTGAACAAAGATTTCGGACATTCATAAATTATGAATTCATGCCTGCACATTCACTTTGGAACCATGCCTACACATTCCCGTCCGAAATCACGGACATTCATAAATTATGAATCCATGCCTGCACATTCACTTTGGAACCATGCCTACACATTCACTTTGGAACCATGAGATTATGAATTTTCTATTATGAGATTATGAATTTTCAGTTATGAGATTATGAATTTTCTGTTATGCGATTATGAATTTTCTGTTATGAGATTATGAATTTTCATTACATTCATAATTTCGGACATTCATAAATTATGAATTCATGCCTGCACATTCACTTTGGAACCATGCCTACATATTCCCGTCCGAAATCACGGATATTCATAAATTATGAATCCATGCCTGCACATTCACTTTGGAACCATGCCTACACATTCACTTTGGAACTATGAGATTATGAATTTTCAGTTATAAGATTATGAATTTTCTGTTATGAGATTATGAATTTTCATAATCTCATAACAGAAAATTCATAATTTGATCAAACGCGCGCCGTTAACTCCACATCCGCGAAATTTTTTTTTTTGACCTAAAAACGACGTCGTTTTGCCTTGTATTCACCATTCTCGGTGAACACGATTCCATGGCATAATTTGCGTACTCAACTATCGACGTAGTGTGGAAAACAATGTCGATCCGTCAATGGAAACACACTATAAAATGCTGCAATATTTTGGAAGATATATACTCCCATATATGCATACTCTCATCAACTAGTAAACTATATATCTACGATGGCCAACTCAAAGCTTTTCTGTCTTCTCCCTCTGCTTTTCATTGCTGCCGTCGTACTTACCAAACAGACAGCCATGGCGGCTGACCCTCTCCGCTATTACTGTTTAAACTTTGAAATCTCCATTACCAAGTCCGACTACCAAAATAACGTAAACAAACTTTTGGGTGACCTCACCTCCCAAACACCAATCAACGGCGGTTTTAGCTCCGGCTCCGTCGGTCAATACTCCAGCAAAGTCTACGCCCTTGCTCTTTGCCGTGGCGACGTCTCCAGCACAGACTGCAAGTCTTGTCTAACCGACGCCAGGACCAAGATAATTCAAGTTTGCCGCAAATACATTGAGGCCATCATATGGTATGTCGTCTCTCTCTATATATATATAGGGTTGTCTTCCGGTGCAAAGTGTCCGTCTAGGAGAGAAATGAGAAAGCATGTCATCCGTCCACGTGTCCAGATGTAACGGATGAGAAACACTAATTTTTTTAAAAAACGTGATGATATTTTAGTAAATAATTGAACATCAAAGTGCAAGTAAAATGTATTACAAATGCAAGTAGCAGTTTCATATAGTGCACCTCAGCGCCAATAAAATGTATTACAAGTGCAAAGTAAAATGTATTACAGGTGCATGTAAAATTTACACCGAGCATCAATACTAAGTGCACCTAACGTTATACCTAGGTGCACCTATAGTTATAAGTACTTGCACTTAGGTGCACAAATATTAACAAGGTAAAATTACTTGCACTTATAAGTGATTTTACTTACACTTTTTACTTGCAAATGTGCACCAGCTACGTGCACTTATAACATATTTACTTGCACCAAAATTTGAGTTATTTATGAAAATGCCACCATGTCGTTTTTTTTAAATTATATCTGATTCGTTGATCTGGACACGTGGACAACTGTAAATGGTTCTTATTTCTCTGTAGGGTTCCAATGAGAACACTTGCTTAGGTGAGAACATGAGGACAAATCGTGTGCATCCATTTAATATTTTTTAATGGTATAGATTAAATTAAGTGTGTGCGAACACGAATTAAATGTGTGCAAACACACTTAATCGCATTTGCACACATTTAATTTGCGTTCGCGCACACTTAATCTAATATAGACTATTAAAAAATATTAGATGGATGCACATGATTTGTTCTCACGTTCTCACCCAAGCAAGTGTTCTCATATGATCCTAAATCTATATATATATATATATATATATATATATATATATATATATATATATATATATATATATATATATATATATATATATATATATATATATATATATATATATATATATATATATATATAGGGAAGGGTTCAGGTGCGGATATAGCTTCTCGTGCGGTTGTGCGGGTGATTAATGTGCGTGAGTTTTGTACTTAGTGTGCATGAGTTTTGTACTTAGTGTGCGTGAGTTTTGTACTTAGTGTGCGTGAGGTTTGTGCTTAATGTGCGTAAGTGTAGTGCTTAATGTGCGTGAATTTTGTACTTAAGGTGCATGAGTCTTGTGCCTAAAGTGCGTGAGTTGTGTGCTTAATGTGCGTGAGTGTTCTTCATCTTCACTCCTAACTCCTTAATTTCCTGCATCATATCATCACAATAATCCTAAACTATTGTCCATAACGCTTGTTAAATGCACAGAGGAACTCCAGGCAAGGTCGATATTTCGTGCCTTCAGGTATTCTTTTCGATGTAATTAAAAGCTCATCTGTATCTGTATTTGCTTCAGTGAATTATGCTTGCATATACGGTTCTTCAGAAAGTTTTGTATCTGAACCTTGGCTTCATTCAGGTTGTAATTTTATTTTTATCTGCTTATATTCAAGCCTCAAGATGCGTATGGATTAGAGAAACTTGCAACCGAAGAATTGTGCAAGCATTACAACAAAGATTTTGGAATTGAATGCCGCATTGGAAGGTTCCACACTCACGCACGCACATTAAGTACAAATCTCAAGCACATTAAGCACAAGACTCACGCACATTGAGTACAAAACTCACGGACATTAATATTACACACTCATGCACATTAAGCACAAATCGCAGGCACATTAAGCATAAGACTCACGCACATAGAGTACAAAACTCACGCACATTAATCAACCGCACGGGAAGCATTCAACCGCACTGGAACATTTCACTATATATATATATATATATATATATATATATATATATATATATATATATATATATATATAATTGCACTCTAGTGCGAATGGAGCGCCTAGGTGCGAATATGCGAATGTCTGATATCCGTCCACGTATCCAGACCTAATGGATGAGAAACACTGATTTTTTTTAATGCGGTGATATTTTCGTAAATAATTGAACATCGAAGTGCAAGTAAAATGTATTACAAGTGCATGTAAAATGTATTATAGGTGCAAGTAAAATTTACATTGAGCATCAATACTAAATGCACCTACAGTTATAAGTAGTTGCATCTATAGTTATAAGTAGTTGCACCTAGGTGCATGAATATTTGCGGTTGTTTTCACGGGGACTACTACCCGATGAACTCCCCGCAAGAACAAAAACGATGTCAAAAAGAACGAACTCAGATCAATGAATGTTAACAAGGCAAAATTACATGCACTTGCAGGCGAAAGTAAGTGCACTTGTAGGTGAAAGTAGGTGCACCCGATCAATGAATGCAGACAAAAATTACATGCACTTGCAGGCGAAAGTAGGAGCACTTGTAGGTGAAAGTAGGTGCACCCAATCAATGAATCCTGACACGTGACGCGCGCTGATTGATTTTGGATCAAATAAAAAAACTTCTACAGGTAAAAAATGCACACAAAATTCAACCGTAGATGCATTCCAAATTCAACAGCCAAGATTCAATATTAATTAAAAAACACAAGGGTGGAATATTTATAATTTTGAGTAAGTAGGTCAGATTTTATTTTGTATTCTAGTGCACATTTTTTTTGTTCGAGTGCATATTCTTCGAGTGCATCTGTTTTGTTTCAGTACTTAGTTTTTCCTTTGAGTGCACATCTTTGTGCCTTTGAGAGTTTGAGTGCAAACATTTTGCTTTTAAGTGCATGTTTTGTAGCCTTCAAGTGTATGCTTTCTTATCTAATAGTGCACAATTAATTTTCTTCTAATTTTTTCTTCGAGTATTTTTTTTCATTGCCTTCTAGTGATCCTCCCTATGCTTTCAAGTGCTCAATTTCATGCCTACAGGTGCATATGTGTCTTACTATTGTGTTAAAAATAAAATAATACTTAGAATTACATTGAACCAATTTTTTCCTTCTAATGCACGTTTTGTAGCCTTCAAGTGCACGTTTTGTAGCCTTCAAGTGCATGTTTTTCTATTTAAGAGTGCACAATTAATTTCTTTCGAATTTTTCCTTTAGTGTCCTTTTTTTACTCCCTTGCCTTCTAGTGATCCTCTTTATGTCTTCAAGTGCTCAATTTAATGCCTACAAGTGTGTGTCTTATTATTGTGTAAAAAAAAAAACAAAAAACAAAAAAAAAACAAAAAAAAAAAAAAAAACCTTAGCATTCAAGTGAACCCTTTTTTTCCTTCGGTGCAGTTTTTTTTTTTTTTTTTTTGGCTTCAAGTGCACATTTTTATGCCTTCAAGTGCATGTTTCTTTACCTTCAAGTGCACGATTCTTGGTAGTATTTGTTATATCTTGTGTATTCTTTTCAATGACAAATAACTAAATTTATAATGAAATTTGTGATATTTACAAATGATTTGTATGGGTAATTGATTTAATAACACTTAAGTTGAATAACTCCTTTTTTGGTACCATAAATTGCATCAATTGCACATCTATTTGCCTCGAGTGCAAATGTTTCGCCTTCAAGTGCACATTTTTATACCTTCAAGTGCATGCTTTTGAGCTTTCAAGTGCACATTTCGTATACAATTGATTTTAAGAGAGTCATTAATCATAGTGCAAATCCTATCTCACCGCATTTTTGCGTCGGAAGTCTTGTGCGCACCGGATCCTAAACATATATATATATATATATATATATATATATATATATATATATATATATTTATTTATTTATTTATTTATTTATTTATTTATTTATTTATTTATTTATATATGACAAATTCAGGTATGACTGTTTATCATGGGTCTCAATTTATGAAATAGATCAAGTCACAAGAATTTGAGTCTTGTACTATAGAGGTGTAATAATATTATTTTCTTCAAATATTTATAATATAAAGTATTATATATGATGTTTAAAATATTGATTATATCATAAATTTTGTTATATAATGATAATTTATTTTTTACAAATTGTTTATTATAGTTTCCCTAAAGTACTAACTTTATGTTATTACTGAGTATATACAAATATATCTAGTTACAATTCTATTATTATTTTATTTCTTGCAAATTGTGTTGAGTTTACCAGCATTGGTTGACTTCTTCTCTAGTTTACATTATTTATATTTAGTTTTGCTTATCAATGTACAATTTTATATATTCTCTACAAATTGTCAATTATGATATGATATAAAGTCCAGTACGTATTATATATAAGACTTAGAGTATAGTATTAATTAGGCACAAGTGTCAAATAGACACATCTACTACTGTGAAGTGCTCAATTTCCACCACGAACTAAATTAAGTGTCAAATAGGTCCATCTACCAGCGAAATTTGTTCGATTGACATTTTTTACAGGTTGCTTATTTAATTATTAAAAATAAATAAATAAATAAAATAAAAAAATTTAAAATAAAAAATAAAAAATCTAAAAATAATAATGAAAAATAATAAAAAGTAATAAAAATTAATAATAAATAATAAATAATAATAAGAAATAATAAATAATAATAATAATAATAATAATAATAATAAATAAATAATAATACAAAATAATACAAAATAAAAAAAAAATTAAAAAATTAAAAAATTAAAAAATTAAAAAAAATAAAATAAAAATAAAATAAAAAATCAGCAGGTGGCTATCCGGCGAGGACAGCAGGTGGCTGATTTTTTAATTTTTTTTTTTTAAATTTTTAAATTTTTATTCTATTTATTAATTTATTTTTAATAATTAGATAGGAAACCTGCTAACAACCTGTAAAAAATGCTAATCGAACAAATTTAGCTGGTAGATGGGTCTATTTGACACTTAATTTAGTTCGTGGTGGAAATTGAGCACCTCACAGTAGTAGATGGGTCTATTTGACATTTGTGCCTATTAATTATATTTACAATTTTGCTATGACGTCTCATGCATAGATTGAGACCCATAATACGATCTCACATGAGACTAGCCTATATATACTGATATACATATGTGAGTGGTAATTTATATCTATTTAATTTTGCCTAAGCTATATTAATCTTGCATCTAGGTACGACAATTGTCTTCTCAAGTACAACGGTAAGGATTTCTTTGGGATTATAGACGAGCACAATAAGTTCTACCTGTGGAACCCTAAACCCGTGAGTAACCCGGGGATATTCATCCCGAAGAGGAACGAACTGTTGAGGCAACTAGCGGCGAAAGCCGCCGGGCAGAAGAGTTTTTACGCGGCCGGAGTGGCGAATGCCGGGGAATCGGTGGAGGTGTACGGCTTGGTTCAGTGCACCAGGGATCTCTCCAGCAAGTATTGTAGGAGCTGCCTCAACGACGCCATTGCAGAGCTCCCAAAGTGCTGTGGTTCCAAACAGGGAGGGAGAGTTGTGGAAGGGAGTTGCAGTGTCAGATATGAAATATATCCTTTTTTCAAGTTCGATTGAAATGAAATGCAATGAAGAAAGGCGCAAAAGCTCACAGCTAGCCAGCATGTTATCTATATAAAATATAAATAAAAGGGGCACCGATGTGGTGTGAGAGCTGTCCCTATATTGTGTATGTTAATCTTCACGTTTGGTCCTTTGACCATTATTGTATCTTTACTTTTAATAAATGATGGAGTTAATACCTCCAATGGTCCTCCGAGTATTAGGGTCTTACGTTCTCTGAGTTTAAAACGATCACAAGACATCCTTGAGTTTAAAAAAAATAACCACTCGTGGTCCTCCGTTAGGATTGGTGTGAAATTGTCGTTAAGTGTGAGGGCAAATCGGTCATTTCTCGTATGAGTTAATGCCTACAATGGTCTTCCTAGTATTAGGGTATTACCGGGTGTAGTCCTCCGACTTTAAAACGATCACTACATGTCCTACTAGTTTAAAAAAGTTACCACCCGCGCGTGGTCCTCAGTTAGGTTTGTTGTCAAAGGGGCGTTAAGTCTAATGGCAAAGCTGTATTTTCACCTATATTTCTTCCTCCTTCGTTCACAGCAATGGTATGTCTGCAACATTTCCCCCACCCCCCAGAAACTAGCGCTGGCAAGGAGAAAGTCTCCGGTTGCTGCTCCGAGAAATCGACGACTCTAGTCCAGGTCAAGCATTTGCACCAACATATTTGTTCCTCTAGAAGATTATGAACCTAAGAATTCATGAAAACTCGTTTCAAGAATTGGGAATCAATAGCCATTGACGAAGCCTAACGGAACTTCTACACATGTTTCGTAAGAAAAATTCTTTTGCTTGTCAATGATTGTAGCAAAAATGAGTGATGGTGAGTGTACGAGTGTGAAATGTCGTCCTCATACGATGGGGGGTTATGACACGTAATATGCAACGACAAGAAACTAGGCACTAGCACTAGGAAATCAACAAGAAGCTAAGTAATACATAGTTTCAAGGTTTAGGTAACTAAACAAAATAACACAAACACATAATAACAAGATATAAACACGAAATAAAAAAAAAATATGACTCAAGTTACGAAGCATTATCATCTAGATGCTTTAACACCTATGAGATTATGGAGAACAAGTAACCAAGGAGTCAATCGAGAATGCACATAAGTATCATTGTTTAAAGTCACTTCAGTGAACAAATAAACAAGGGTTAGAACAAGGATTGCCCCACTTTCATGGTGTATCAATTCCAAGTCCATCAAGCACACAAAACACCTTAAACCTCCAATTTTCCCTATTTTCATAGGAAGAAATTGGGTTTATGCAAGGAGTGGCTTGGAATCTTGACTCAACCCTCATTGAGGTCAAAAATCCTCCAAAACATGCTAATGAATGTTGTACACCAAGCATTAATAATATACAAACACAAATCATTCATAAACTCAAGAACCCTAGGTTATAGTTCTTCCCCTTCTTTCGATAATCACAAATTAAGCATCAAGATAGATAATACAACAATAACTCAAGTCCATAAACTAACTACTCATGATTAAATAGCATAAATAACACAAAACATAAATAATAAACATAAACATTGCATAGGAAAAGATACAAGGGAAAGAAAACATCTCTAATGAAATGGATGGTAAATCTTGGAATTCAAGTGTTGAATCCTTGATTACAAACTTCAAATATGAAAGGAATTAGTAGAAAATGTCTAGTGCTTGAACAAAGTCGAAAATTGAGTAGAAAATGAATAAAACCACGCATAAATAGTGCCACTGGCCGTGCCCTAAAGCTGCAATTCTGGGCAGGTTTCTGGAAAGTGCACCAAAAATAATACACGGCCTCAGGCACAGCCGTGCACTTGGCCGTGTCTTTTGACCACCAAAAATTCAGATTTTGGCTTTATGTTATGCATAAAAGGTGTAGCCCTTCGAGTTTTTTTTCCAATGGCAAAAAAACCACTTCATTTGGACATTTGAAGGCCGAGATATGGTCAAAATTCCAAATAGTGGTCGGAATGAACGAAAATTGCAATGTCTTAATCTTTTGCTCCTCTTTTATTTTGGTTTGTCCAAATGACTAAGACCATTGAAAATACCATTCTTTGGCTCCTTTGGAAGTATTGTATCCATCTCTTAGCTTCTCCTTGGCTCCCATTGGCTCCTAATGCATCCAAAATACTCCATTATTTGACTCCAATAATGTTCACCAAAATGCATTAAAATACTCATCTTTGCTTTCAAAGCTTTCCAAACCAAACTCCTTGCAAAATAACACAATTTAGTCTTCATCTCATGAAATTTGAAATGATCTATAAGAAAAATGACTTTGTAAAAATGGAGAAAAATATAGACAAATAAGCACTTATCAATCAATACGTTTATACTTTGGTCGTGGAATAAGTTTACTTTGGTCATGGAATATGGAATAAAGGTTGCCGCCTCCTCGGAGAAAAGTAGAAAAACTTTAAAAATCCTCATCCTCCTCCGTCTTTCTCGCTATCGGCATTCTCTTTCTTCTTGCTGCCTTTCTCCTTCTTAGGAGGCACAATCTCCTCATTCTTCTTCCGATGTTTCTTTAAATCTTTCAACATCGCCTTCATGTCCATTTTCCCGATCACCGTCACTAGATCCTTTTCTGTATCCACTTTCACCACTTTTTCTTAATCAAGCATACCGCACTCATGGAGTAAAAGGAAAAGTGGGGTACATGTATAGAAAAACTTTGTGCTCAAGAATAAGCAGAGAGAGCTACCCCGGAACAACAAACAATGGAGGAAGGGTCATCCAAAAACTCCATCTTTGAGGAGATAGAGGAGTTAATGGTATCACCCACAGGTGGTTCACCAATCTTCAGAGATGCCCGGTTTCTGAAACCCACGGCTTTCGCCATTGACGGCCAGAGGCCAAAGCTTCCTTTGCCGTCATTCTCGTCTGAAGTAGAGTGGCTTCTTGAGGTGGCATTTTGTGGGTGGCGGGGTCCACAAAACTTGTGGAAGAAATGCGTGCCAAACACCTCTTTGTCTGGAGATCAGCTGGGATCGATGAAGCCATCATGTGTTCTGTGTATAAAATCCACAGAAATGATAAACTTGTTTTGCGACTAGTGGAGAGGTGGTGTTCTGAGACTAATAACTTCGTGTTCGAGTGGGGCGAAGCCACCATCACTCTAGACCTGGACCAGAGATGTTGGTTTCTTAGAGCAGCAACTGGAGACTTTCTCCTTGCTGGTGCCGATTTCTGGAGAAAATGTTGCAGACATACCATTGCTGTGAACAAAGGAGGAAGAAATATAGGTGAAAATACAGATTTGCTCTCAGACTTAACGCCCCTTTGACAGCAATTCTAATTAAGGACCACGGGTGGTAACTTTTTTAAACTAATAGGACGTCTAGTGGTCGTTTTAAAGTCGGAGGACCATACTTGGTAATATTCTAATACTCGGAGGACCATTGTAGCTATTAACTCATACGCGAAATGACCGGTTTTCCCTCACACTTAACACCCATTTGACACCAATCCTAACGGAGGACCACGCGTGGTTATTTTTTTAAACTCGAAGGACGTCTGGTAGTCGTTTTAAACTCGCAAGACCGCACCTGGTAAAACTCTAATTCTCGGAGGACCATTGGAGATATTAACTCTAAATGATGAGTTTAAACATATTAGATTTCACCTCCAATTATTGATCGAAAATGTGCAAGTAGCAAATAATAATGCGATCAATATACACAAGTGTCAAATAGGCACATCTACTACTGCGAAGTGCTCAATTCCCACCCCGAACTAAATTAAGTGTCAAATAGGCTTATCCACTAGCTAAATTTGTTTGATTGACTTTTTTTACAAGTTAATAACAGGTTGCCTATTCAATTATTAAAAAAATATAATAAATATATATATATATATATATATAACAAAAAAATTGTTTATTTGTTTTTCCAATGGAGTTTGCTCGGTACACCGGAATATTGCATGAAAAGATGATAAAACTGAGGTGTGAAAATAGAGATAGCATCCTCGGAGAATAGAGTCCATCTGGTCTACGGATGGAAGTCTTTCCGAGAAGCCAACAAGATAAAGATTGGGGATTGGTGTTCCTTCACCTTGGTTAATCCAAACAGCACAGAAACTATGGTTCTGTTGGTTAAAAAACTACTCAAATGAAAATGGATAAATTAAGATCGAATATATATCATCTCATTGCTGCTCCGACCAAACGTGGAATGAATTGATATTTTTGGATCTTTTCTGTTACTATGTTTTGTGTAAATTTTCTGGGTGGATCGAATCTATTGTGTATAATTTTTGCAAGCTTTTTGACTTTTTTTTTGTTTGTTCTTGAAAACTGAAACGTTGGATTCAGTTTTAGCTTCCATGCTTTATCCTCTTTTTGTAAGCTTCAGAATATACAGTGATAATTTTTCATTTCTACCAAAAAAAAAAAAAAAAGTGATAATTTTTCATATTACAACCTTTTTCTATGAATCAGAAACTCCCAACCTTTTGTATCTCTGGGTGAAAGCAAATGGGTTTTGAGAACAGAAGACTTGCGCTTTGGATTCCAGATTATGGTTTATCTTGAATTGTGGGAAATTCTTTTTTTTTTTGTTATATATATATATATATATATATATATATATATATATATATATATATATATATATATATATATATATATATATAATATTTTAATAATTAAATAGGCAACATGTTAACAACCTGTAAAAAAAGCCAATTGAACAAATTTAACTAGTAGATGGGTCTATTTGATACTTAATTTAGTTCATGGTGAGAATTGAGCACTTCGTTGTAGTAGATGAGTCTATTTGACACTTCTGCCAGATCAATATATATAATAATGAGACAAGGCACCAAATCAGGAAAAAATCTGTTTAAAATTATTTTATTTTAAGCAATGGATCTTCACATTTTAATGGATTAGATCTGTCACACGGACTCATAGAAAGATGTGGACTAATATGATCATTAGTGCATATATATATATATATATATATATATATATATATATTGAAATTGCACTTTGAGTCTTGAATGCAAGATGTAACGTATATTTTTACTTGTTTTTATATTATGCACCAATTACGTTCATTAATTAAATTTGTTAAAC